CTTCAGTCGGAGACACGTGGTTAGGTGCCTGTGAGCAATGGTCATTGCCCTTCAATCGGAGACACGCGGGAGCCGAGGCAGCAATGAGAGCCGTGCTCCTGCCCAGCCCGCCTGGCTGCACTGGTGCCACCTCGATCTGGTGGGGAAACCCCGTGCCATGTGCCCCGCGCCGTCTCAGGCCCTGTCCTGCAGGCTCGACCCCTGACGAGAGCAGGCGGCGCGCGGGCTCAGACCTCGGCGGTTGCACAACGAGGAAGCAGCAGATGTTTCGGGAGCGCGCAGTTAGCGTTTCCTTCCTGGGCTCAGCCCATTTTGAGGTCAGCCCCAGGGATGCTGAGATGGAGCACGCAGCTCCGGGTTGGACACATGGCCTCTGGAGGGAGACGGACCTCCTTCGGGAGCAGAGGTCAGGGTTGCAGGTCCCGGGCTCCCAGGCTGCCCTCCAGCTCCCTTCCTTATAAGGCCAGCAAATGTTTTGTCGTCTCCCGCGCTCCCTCCAGCCTTGCTGGCTGTGTTAGCAGGGCGGGAGCTGGCAGCTCCGAACCCCCCTGGCCTGCTCTGCGCCAGGTCGCGCCTTGCAGACAGGCCGTCGTGCTTGGTGTCGGCGAGCCGTCGGGGACGGGAAGGCGGCACAGACCTGCCGCATTCACGGCGACCTGCTGCTTGATTTCGAAAAAGCGCTCGGGGAAAGAGCAGAGAGAAAAGAAGTCCACGCGCATCGAGACACAGCGTGGTCCCGAGGGACGCCAGGCTGCTTCGGTCTCAATAGCCAGCTTTACCAATATCTGTTGCCTGTAAGAGGGCTGCACGAACCAGCCGTCAGCTGTGATTGGCAGGCCTGTTATGTCTTAGCAAGACTCCCCCCTCCCTGCCCATCCTTTCCCTGGGGGCACTCATTGAAACCAGTATATAAAAATGATTTGCAAATGTCTGTGGGCACGGCTGCCATTTCAGGTTGAAAAGGCTGGGGAGCGCTGATTTGCACATGGGTTGTGGAGTCCAGTAGCAGCGTGCTTGGCTGCCTTCCACATGTAAACAGTCCCTTTTGTTCTGGAGAAGTGTTGGGGATTATATGATGTTGAGCGCACTCGGTCTCCTACTTCCGTATTGTGCCACAGACGTGTAATCATCTGGTTCAAGGGGCTTAGTTAATTGTTGACAAAATAGAAACGTTGACGACTGTCTCCTGGTCGGGAAGCAAAGTTGCAAGTCGCCTGGTAGAAAGGGTGGCGTGTCCGGTCTTCCGCTTTGCAGGGATCGAAGCCAAGCGACACGGATTCGAGCGCCCCAGTCGCGACACGTGAAAACAGGGCACTCTCCTCTTCCCCCGCCTTCCCTCCCTTGTGCCGAGGGTAGCACCCCTTCCCCCCTTCGGACTTTTATTATTAAACCCTCTGAAAAATGAATTGAGGCTTGCAAGCATTGTTCGTAATTGTTGTGCAAATGTAATACTCCCTCCAAGCTGTTAAATAGGCCAGCGCTCTGTTTACATGGAGAGGCAGCCAGCTTTCCAAGTGTAATGAGTCAGCTAGATGAACAGAAGGGGTGCAGAATTAATCTGGCATCCGTCTGGCCTTTTCTCAGCTAAACAGGTTTTCGGAGCTCCACGTGAATAGGTACGTACCCCGGGTACAAGCAGCCCCGGTGACGCCCTGGGCAGACAGATTTTTTCAGGAATAAATTGGCAAGTCCGCGTGGCCTTCAAGACCGATAGCTGGGAGACGCTTGAAAGGGAATCCTAAATTGGTGCGGGCTTTAATCCGACGTTGTTCATGCTTGAGTTGCAGGGGAGAGTCTCCCCCAGCGCTGTACCAGGCCTCAGACGTCCTACGGCACGTCAGGCCGCTTCGTGTGCCGTGTGTTTTTAATATCCCTTGTGGAGCGTAAATGAATTTCCATCCTCGGACGCCAAGTCCTTTGGAGTTTCCTTTCCTTAGATTTTCACGCTGGTGTCGAGATGCGTGTGCCTGAACGACTCGATGTGCTGGGCTCGGCGGCTGGCCTCTCTCCTGCAGTCAAAACGCTGCATCTTGGCACGTGGGCGATTCTCTCTGCCGCCACTAATTTTCCCAATGATTAAGGCTTGTACTCTGCCCAGTCAGAGCAGCCTGGATGAGGGTCTCACTTTGTCATCGTATCAAGGCCTGACTGTCTTGACCCTGGGTTTCATGAAGCCCAGCAACTGGCCTGTCTCCCTTGGGGAGAAATGGGTTTGCTGCAAGGTGCCCCGTCTAGTCCGTGCTTCGGCCCGGGGCCGGTGTCCTGCGTGGCCGGAGGAGAGAGGCATCCCCGTCCAGCACGGCTGCTCTGAAACCCGGGCTCCAGGTTCAGTATTTTCCACGGACTGTCTGTTTGGTGGCACCGAGGTGCTGGATTCCCCCTTTCCCCGTGACACCAGTGCCAGCCATGACAGCCTTGCTTTCGTGGCATGTTTCCTGCGGTAGTGCAAGGGGCTTCTTCCTGCTCCCCTCCCTCAGGGAAGAAGCCCTCTCTGTGGTTGTGTCTACATGTGCATTTACACCAGCTTAAATTTATTGCAGAGCAAGCAGGAACAGGCCGGCATCTACACGTGCAGGCCTTAAGGCACATTAGCGCTGTGTGTGGACTGACTAAAGTTAGCCCCAAGTCAGTCCACGCACAAAGCGTTACTGCGCAGTAAGGCATCTATACATGCATTACTGCGCAGTAACTAATCGGGTGTAAATTTGGTACGTGCACGATGCAGGAATCAAATTTACACCCAAGCCGGCATAAATTGTCGTATTTACTGTGCAGTATAGGCATGCACATGTAGACGCGCGCCTGTGCCGCACAGTAGTTTTGGCTACTGCGCAGTAAATGGAGATGTGTAGACGTGCCCAGTGGGTATCTGGTACCCAGCACGACCCTCCCTAGGCTGCAGAGGCCTCCAGGTCCCTCTTGCCCTTTTCCCTTCAGTAAACCTGGGCAGACTCTTCTCGCTGACCCGTGCGCAGCCTGGAGCCGGGTCTGCGGAGAGAGCCCTGTCCTGCCAGACGCCTGTTACGTGATGCCTCGCAGCGGGGTTTGGAACGGCTCCGTGGCTGGCTAATGTGGATCGCTGCAGGGCTGGCAGGGGACACGGAGAATTATTTTGTAGTTAAAGAAAACCCAACAAAAAACCACCAAACCCTAGCCAACTCCACAGACCCGGTGGGAGAAGCGGGGACGGTTGGTGATAGACCCCAGAGCTGTTTCCACGATGGCGGGGTTTCCATAGAGCTCTGCCCACCGCCGAATTGTGGGCCAAGAAGGCTCTGGTCCCCTGCCCACCACAGAGCGAGCACAGCAGCAGCTTCTGAACGTGATGGGCATTTCATCACCTGGTATGAAATGAATTGGTGGGTTCCAGCCCCGGCCTCGCCAGGACCGAACACTTGTGGAGTTCGAACCATCTCCGGTTTCGGGTTTAAAAATGGTCCGAGCCTCTTGGAGCGTCGGGAAAAAAAATAGTCGAGGAGGTTTTGGCTTCCCCCATCTCACTGCTGTTCTCTCCTCCTTCCCCACCCACAAAATTCCCAGATCCGTGGTGGATTGCTGGAGTGACTCAATTCCCAGACAATTTCCTGCAATTGTAGCTCAAAAAAAATAAGAAGCGGCCACAATAAGTGAATGGGCGCAGGGCGATGTGCGGGGCTGCGGGTCGCCGGGGAAAGGTTCTCCGACGGTGCTTGGAGGAAACCTTTTGCGTGGGCAGTGCCTGCGGGCCGTTGGTCTGCAGAATCTGGCCGTGGGTCACCGGTGCTTTTTAGCCTCCGGAGATATTTCTGTTCGCCTAAAGGCCCTGCCTGCCCTGGCTCCGGACCACGTTTCTGATCTCCGTAACAACACATGCTGCTGTGTGTTTCGGATGTCAGTCGTCTTTTCAGCTCCGTAACCAGGCAACACATGGCATGGGCAACAGAGCTCTTTGTTAGGCTCCTTAATTGTGCCTTACCTAGGCCACGGCACAATGGCCTTGCTGAGCCGGGGCGCGGAGGCCCCTCCGTAAACCGTTCAGGGAACACTGCTCCTTGTGTTCCTGCCCTCCCCAGAGGTCAGCACAAAAGACACCTTTTAGGAGGTGCTGGTTGTAGCCGTGTTGGTCTAAGGACACAGGCAGGCCAGGTTCTTTGAATAGATGCGATATCTTTTATTAGACCAACTAAATAGTTGGAAAAATTGTTCTTTGCAAACTTTGGGGCACAAATCCCCTTCTTCAGGCTTAGGGAGAGTTCTTCGGGCATAGGGAGACTCTCCCAATGCCTGAAGAAGGGCGTTTGTGCCCAAAGCAATTTTTCCAACTATTTAATTGGTTTAATAAGAGATACTGCATCTACCCAAAGACCCGTGTCTACGTTTTAGGAGGAGGTTTTGTAGTTGCTTGCTTTAGATACTTGCTCCCCCAGGCCAGTCTTCAGGAGCGTGCATCCCGAATGGTACCCGGGAGCCAGCTCTGCAAACCGTAGCACGGAGAGTCTCTGCTGGGTCTGGCGGGCGCTGAGAGAAGCCCCGCGGGAGCATCCCGAGCAGCGCTGTAAGCAAAGACCCAGGGCTCTCCCTGAGTGTCTGCGTGCTGCCCATTGCGTGTCGTGTCTGACATCGAACGTTTTCCCCTTGCAAGCCCTGTGCGTGGCCTGCAGCCGGCCTGGATTAGCCTTTGCGGTGGTCCCTGCTTTTTCTCTCTGGCCTGGTATAGCGATCTTGGCGGCTCGGGTTCATGTGGCAGAGGATTGGGATGGATGATGCCTGGGCATCGCGGGTGAATGCTTGCACGGGGCTGCAAAAGGCCGGCCTCTTCCAGTCCTGCGTTCTTGTTCAGTCCCTTAAAGCCAGAACTGACGGCAGAGTCGGCCCAGCTCTGGGCTCGGACCGCTGCTCTGTGCCGGGGAGTCCAGCACAGCCGCGTGGCCGGCCCCAGCAGGTAGCGTCTGGACAGTTGTTTCCCCTCCTGACCAGCCTTTTGTAAAACGCCTGTTTTCTCTGCTTCTCTCTTTGAACAGACGGTTGACGACGAGGCGATGGCAGCATAAATGAAGATCAAGTAAGCACGGCAGAACGATGCCCAAGGGTGGGTGTTCTAAAACACCACAGTCAGAAGATTTCTCTCTCAGCAACGACATGGTGGAGAAACAAACGGGGAAAAAGGTAACTCGCCCCTTCTTTTTACCCTCGCTGCCCCAACAGGGCCACGCTGCAGCGCTGGGGCTGCGCATAGGCCACGTGCCTGCTAGCGGCCGGTAGATCTGGAACGAGACACGGTTTGCCCAGCGGTGAGCGAAGGGCTCTGCTTCCAGCACGCTCCACTTTGGCTCATAACCCTTGACTTGTGCGGGGGAGTGACGGGGACTTGAGGCTGCGTGACGGGGAGGAGTGGGGGGTTACTAAGAGGAAAGTGAGTTTCAGTTCTTCCTGGGTCGGAGAAACCTCCATGGGAGACCCCCTCCCGCGCAGCCGTGGGCAGTCTCTGAACGGCTCGTGTTTGATGTGTGTTGCCATCCAGGCAGCAGGCGCACAAGCCTGGAGGGCTGAGATGCTCCGAGGAGTCGCTGATGAGGTGCTGGTATCTGAGCTGCTCGGCTGGAGATGTGGCTGCTCGGGGTTGAACGGAGCTGAGAGCTGCAGATAAAGTTATTGAAAGGAGGTGTGGGATAGAGGGCAGGCAAACCGCGCCGCTCCCTTCCACCCGCAGCACGTCCCGCTCGCTTTGGCCCCCGGCCCGCCAGCCTTTCGGCAGCTCTGATCGGGTCTCGCTGGGTCACAGTAGAGTCCAGAGGCAGCTTCTGCTCTGGCCAGCACAGTAGGCACAAGTCCCTTCCTAAGTGAAACCTAAATGTATGGCAGCCTGTCCTGCTTCGTAGGCAGCTCTTCCCCATCTTTCCTTCCCCCCTTTGATCCCATTTGCCTTAGC